CGAGACTACCAATTTGACGTCAGTGTGTGAGATGGTACCACGTGACACCTTCAACACGTTGGGAGTTGTAACACGAAAAACTCGAGACTAAGGCCCCAGGGTGGGCCAACGAAAACGAAACGATCTTTAGATAGAAGTTCGTATTCGTCTGTTGAAACAATTTCCAATTTCTTACATTGTAAGTCTTCCGTTTTTAATACGAGAATTGATGTGATGAAATCTTTCCTTTGATGGGCCCTAAAAGCTTATGGAAACCGTTCAGTAAGTCTTGCTGATTCGTATAAACTCAGAAAGTGTTCAATACTTTGGGTGTTTCAAACTTCCCAGTATGCAAGAGCGTGATATACTTAAGAATATTGAATGAAGACACGAACCAAGAATAGCTGATTAACCTAAATATGAGTGAACAAAGGCATTAAAACATCTCATTCTTCGTTAATCCTTCTCGAATATTTCCAAAATCCAACTTGATTTTGCAACGTTTCCTATAATACACGGGTGCCCAAACTTTCTGCCACAATGGCCACATTGGGATTTAAAAACATTTGCGGCGTGAATATGTGGATTAAAAAATTTTATTATGACTATGGCAGCGTCCAATTTTATTTTTTAAAGTTAATTACATACACACCAATACTAAACAAACATGGCTAAATTATACATAATTAGAAATTGTTTCATGCAATTTTTAATGAAAATGATGGAACTGTTTTTTGCTGAAGAATTTCTTCACAGTTGGAATTAAAATATGAAAGCAATTCTTCACAGCACGGGATATGAATATAATTATATTCATTCATCTGACTTTCCAGCAATATTAGCTTTGCCCGAAATACTTTGATTTTCGCGAATAAATCACAAATTAAGTTGTTTTTACCTCGGACCTTTAAGTTCAATTTATTTACGTTTGTCACGTCTACAAAAAAATGCCAACTTCAAGAGTCACTCGGCATCCGATAAAAGTGGTTCTGGATGATTTTTCCTCGCAAGAAATAAATTAATTTCATTTCTAAGCTTAACAAACTGCAATAGCACTTTTCCACAGCTAAGCCATCGAACTGCAGTATAATATTAGAGGAAAAGGTGGTATTATGGAACCCCAATTACATTTTAGTGAATTGTAAACAAGGTATCATAACTACACCCACATTTATGGAATTATGGTATTTATGGTATTATGGAACCCCAATTACATTTTAGTGAATTGTAAACAAGGTATCATAACTACAACCACATTTTTTGTGCGAAAAGTACTGGTAACTATTAAAGTAAATTTTCGTAATTGGATTTTTCGCTTGTGTCACTGTAAGTATGGTTTTTGAAGGCTTTTGTACAAAAAGTCAGAAAGCAGGCTTAGAGAAAATCGGGTGGTAATATGGAACCTTACTGTATATTTTCAAAAAATGCTTTAATGTATCCAAAAACAAATAGGAAAGTACAAAGAATGTTAAATAATTACAAAATTATTTACTCCAATGTATTTTATCGAAAAAATGCTTTTTTAATAGAAAAATATGACCTCCATCAACAATACAGTCGATCCCCCTATAAGATATAGATACGTTCCAATTTATTAGGAATCCGATTTCTTACAAGTCGTTCCAATCACACCCGACACGTGTCAAGTTTACGGACTACGGCTGATTGAAAGGTTTTCTTCCATAAAATTAATCGATTCTACACTAATCTGACTCAACATTTCCAAAATACGTATATTTTTTCATAGTTTTATAGGAATCGTAATTATAGGGACCGTAATTATAGGGGGGTCGACTGTATATATTCCAGCAGCTCTTTTTCAATATTTTCGGGAAGAATTGGCTTTCTACCTAATGTCTTTTTTACAAATTGCACCGGACGAATGTCTGATTGCAAAGAGAGAGTTCGGAGGAGTTGGGTTCCATATTAAAAGCACCAATGGTATCGCCATCTTGAATAAACTTATGTCTGTCAAGACCAAATTTTAAAAAAACGTGAACATCACACAGATTAATATTTACCCCTAAGTCTTTGGAACGGAATACATGCACTAGTAAACCTACAACTACACGATTTATATTTTAAAAATAATTATATTCACTTAGCATTCAGAACTTGTGAATTTTGAAAAAAAACAAATTTGCTGATTAAATACGGACAACCGTTTAACTGAAGTGAAACGGATTTTCTCCTCGCTATGGATGTCTGAATAGTTCAGTTCAGCCACGATCCGCTACAGTTCGCCTTTATTATCAGTTCAAAATGGGGAGGTTCCATTACACCCGCAGTGTTCCATAATGCCACCGTTTTCTCTACAAGTCAACGGACTCGGATTCAATTTGTTCGATAAAAGATCGAAATTGGCGATGATTAAGTGCATGTTATCGAATAAAATTTACGACAGAAACAAGTGGTTTTAAAATGCAGCTCATATCGATACGTTGATGTATAATACAGTGCAGAGAAATTGGTACCGATTCTCCTGCATCTTCACAAGCTATTCTAATTTGTCTAACCACACCGATGTTTACACAAGACATGTTTCTTCCTTCATCGATTATCACACCTTTGAGTCGATTCCAGTGCAAGCTATACTTTGTCAACGATTTTTGTACTTCTTCGAAGATATCTTCTCCAGTCGTTGTGGTGTGCATGCTGCTAACAAAAGCTAATTTTTGTGTGACATTAAAGTTCGTCATCAACTCCACGAACAAAAACTAAAAGTAGAGAGATGTCACTAACGTCAGTTGATTCATTCAACGCGACATAATACCGACTGAGACGTTGTGCTTTACTGGTAATCTGGTGGAAAATATTGTTTCTAATATCGACGAGCAACAGTATTACGGAAAATACATCATTGCAAATTACACATACCGCTTTTCCATTCTCTGACTGCGTTTGCACAAAGTTGTATTTTACTCCCCATTCTTCATTAAAAACGCGGCACTCGTCATTAACTTTTCTTTTCCTACTTTCCATGATACAATTTATAAAAAATAATAATAAACTTCAAAATAATTAATTGGTAATACATTAAACATGAATTTACACATACCAATTTACAAATGAGTCATGCGAAAACAGAACAGAAGACAACAGAAGGCAATTCCGAGGTCAAATACAGAGATGCCACATACAATGCTCTCGATTCTTTCTTTGTCCTCTCCTTCTACTCACTATTATAAAAACAGCCCACAGAGTCTGTGTATTCGTATACGTTCGCTATTCGCCTGTCTGCCTTCGTGCCAATTCGGTAGTTACAAAACAATAGCAAAAAACAATATTTTTATGACTGGTAAATTAAAGTAAAATTTTATGTATATATTTTTTCAATTTTATTATTTCTGAAAATAAAAATTCTTTTTTAACATTAAATAACACTTTTGTTTAGAATAATTTATATACACTGTATATTATTAACCGAGAAGGAATGTTTATTTAGACGAAGTTGTAATAATAATCGTTTAATATTCATATTTATATCAGTTATAATAAGTCTGAAATCAAAAGGAATTTTCAAAATTTCAGAATACCACGGGTGATAAGCCGATTGCAATATTGAGTTTTCATCCTGGGTTATTGATTGCGATATGGCCGATTCCATCAGTAGTGTATAGACGTTATTCCAATTTATGTCAAATTTATCTAATAAAACACTTGAGATTTCATATGTTTGAAGTATATTATTGAATTTGTATTGCCAAGTATCTTTGGTGGAATTTCATTTGATTAGTTTGGATCATTTAATTTTTACACCAAAGTATAACTACTCTTAGAAAAGAAAACTATTATCGAATCCGGGTATATCCTTCCAAATTTAAATACAGAAAAACGACTCGGTGAATACACCTTCTTATATAGAATTACTCTATTACGAGATCACCTCAAAAATTCTTCAGAAATTACCCTTTGATTTAAATAAATAAACCTATGTTTTATTCAGTACATTTCCATTCGTACTGTAGCTTTCCTATATTATATTCTCGTGTAGTCAAGAACTAGCGTAGCGTTTAGTGTAAACACAATAAATGTTAAATTTATTAATGAAAAAAAACACAGAAATTTAACTTTGCCTTGTTAATTTACTACTGCAGAATTATTTTAAATTAATTTTTTTAATCAGCGGATATATATTAGTAAACGTTATAATGATTCGCTAGTGTTGACTTTAGAGTTTCTTAACGGAAAAATGTACAGCATCGTTCGATTCCTATGATTAACGTAATTACTAGTTTTGTTGTAAATAAAAGTTTATTCATAAAACGTTTAGTCAGAAAACCGTGTGTATTAGATTTATTCGTATATATTTATTTATCAATCTATCATCAAGTAATTAGTATAGTTCATACTTTACAGAAGACAATTCTTCGAAATATAAAAGTACAGCAATGAGTGCAATGTAATAACAGACATTATATTACGATATATATATAAAACACGTAGATATTACTCAATATATAATGCAAATTTATTATACAATTATAGAGAAAATATCATTACTATATCAATTAATTACATCAATTTGGTGGAAATCAATTACAAGCATGAAATACATTTTCCAATTTTTTTTCATGTCTTCTAAAACCAAAATAAAATATTAAAAAATTATACGACTCTATTACAGTTTAAGACATTCCGAAAGACTGCAGACGATTTTCTATAAAACGATGGAAATTGAATTTCTGAATTACGATAATCAGAGAACAGATTAAAGAAAATTATTCTACAGATTTAAGACGATTTATTTATTGCTACAATGCATGCATTAATTTTTGAAATCATTTAGTTTATAAACTTATATATCATTATAGGATTTAACGATGTAAATGATAAAACAGTTAGGTTCTTTGTCATTTGATTAATTATTTATAAAGAACACTTAAACACGACGCGTATTGTTTCCTTGTTTGACCACACATTTAGATTAATTTTCTAAAATTCCACTGACTTCAACGCACGAAGAAAATGTCGAATAAACCGCACTTATCACCTGAAAATAGCGGTGTTTAATGCCTTACCTTAAATTTGAATGTCAATGGGAGATTCGCAGAAGAAACCTTTTCAATACTTATGAAATTATCGTACATCTGAAAAAAAGAATAATATAGATTAATGTATATTATTCTTTATAACAACAAATATATTCAGTATAACAACTAGATATTAAACCTATTACCAATAAAAAAACTTATAAAACTTCAATGCTTTATCCTTCATTTTATGAAATAAATGAATACAAAAGAGCGCTACAAACCGGAAGACAATTTGTCCCGCTGACTAAGTATTAAATTAGTGTATAAAATAATATTAGCATCTTCTTATGTAAAAATATTATTGGTCTAACAACTGTTTACTATCATCTGAATTTCTCGTACGCTTGCTAGATATTTACACGAGTTAAAATTTAAAACTATTTTCAAATTCGTCGAAATTCGTTTTTGCCTTCGTAAATGTGATGACAAAAGTTGAAAGTATACAATATGATACATTGACATGAATTATTAATATACTAGCAAATAAGACCGGCGTTACTCGGGCAGAAAGTAATGATAGCGAAAATTAAGATTATTACTTAGTAGTCAGTTTTACCCGTTTTCACAGAATGCAAGAATTAGGGTCTTCTGTTTCCAGAGTAATTAGAAAATTTTTATATGAATCTAAAAATATGTTCGAATTCTCGCAAAAAACCGCCTGTAAATCTTGCACGTTGCTTTTTCTTAATACAGTAGAGCGTCGTTTATCCGAAAGCTGGTTATCCGAAACGTCCGTTATCCGAAAGCTGGTTATCCGAAACGTCCGTTATCCGAAAGCATTCCAGTCGGCAAATTTAAATTTTCGCTAGTGCTGTGGCGCTGTAATCTTCGGCTATGTCTTTGGCTACTCAAATATTTTACGTTTTTGATACTAAATTAACATCTGAAGTATAATTTTTTATTGTTTTCATATTTTTCAAAAAATTTATTTTGTTTGTACAAAATAAAAAAATAATTTTTAACGATACAATAGTCTTCGTTTGGCTTAACATCGACGAAAATTCAACGCGAAGCGACACGAAACGGAGAGAAATTTCAACATGGTATAAATTAATATATTTTTTCGTACATGATTCGTTATTCGAAAAATAATTTATCCAAAACACCCCAGTCCTCAATCGATTCGGATAAACGACGCTCTACTGTAACTTTCATTCTTAACACTTCCCCCGCGCAGGGAAGTGTTAAATTAAAAAAAAAATAACACATAAAAACTAACTTTCCTTAAATATAAGTAAAATAATATTTTTATATTCTAGTTTTTAATAAACCACTAATTTAAGCTCAAAAAACATAATTTACGAGTTTTAAGAATTAAACAAGAAGTAACGATCACATACCACAGATGTCAAATGAGAGAAAGCCCATCAAAAAGCAATTAATCCAAACAGAGATAGCAACGATGCTGTTGTCCAAATAATTTTGATTGTCGCGTTTATTTTCACAAATAATGTTGCGTACCAAAGAAAAGAAGTCGCGTAGAGAAAACACGTGTAAAAAAAAGGCAGAAAAATATCCCATTCTTCGTTAATCATTCTCCAATATCCCCAAAGTTCAACTTGGTTTTGCAACATTTCCTGTAATATGTTCTGTAGAAAAAGTTTCTTTGCAGTTATTTTCGTTATTTTTTCGGACATCGTCAGGTATCTTTTCTGCATTATGAAAATAATCGCTAAAAATATAGAAACGAGATATAGGATATGCCCCACAGCATAAATGAGCCATAAAGCGTAGATAATAGACACAAGAAATGCCTCTGTGTCCGTTCCGTTTTGTTTCTTTATTTCTGCGAAAAATGTAATTCCGGACATCACTGTAATTGCGATATATAAGGTAAATGACAGGCATAACAAACGCAATGAGTACTTCTCTATGGTGTCGGTTATTTTCCATTCTTCTGGATAACTGCAGGCGATGCAATGAAAGTGGATTTTTCTTCGTTTTAGTATACTGAACTGCACAGCAATGTAAAGTGAATAAAATGCAAATGCTGCGGATGCTTGAAGTGCGTAATCGTTATACATTTTTCCAACTCTTACAAAGTAAAAGTTGATATTGTACATTCCTATCAGATAAGCGCAAAACATCATCCAGAGAAATACTTCTACGAATGAAGTGTACAACTTAAATAATATTGATCGTAAATAGGCTTTTGCTGTTTTGTTTTCTTCGACGCATGGACGGGGATTCCAATACAATAGACCAAATACCTTTGCCGAATTAAGTATTGGAGCCAACATGTACCCCATACAACGTTGTTTCTCCCCGAATGATGGCATTTTTACCTGAATAAAAATAAATTATCTTAAGTCTACCGGTTTTCAGTATTGTTTCGGACAGTACTTTACTTCGTTCGTATAAAATTAGAATGTTCTGTTATCTTATGTTACTATGGTTACAAATTAATCTATAATTTTCTATATAATCGTAAAATGGAATCGTTTGTTATCATTTGTAAATATTAATTTTTCATTGTACAGTGTTATATTCGTAGTCTTGAGTCATCATATTGAGTCATTCTTATATTGCGGTATCCATTATGGTAATTGAAACCTATAATTTCCAAGAAGGAATTTTCATTGAAAGTGTAATTTTATGTGACAAGCAGATAATACCGGCGTTGCTCGGGCAAAAAGTGACAATAACGAACATTAAGATTATTATATTACAGCCAATCTTACCCGTTTTCACGTAATTAGGTCTGCCTGTTTCCAGAGTAATTAGAAAATTTTTTGATGTGGCTAAAAATGTGTTCGATTTCCCGCAAAAACGCAAAAAAAAACTGCATATGCGCCTGTAAATCTTGCACGTTGCTTTCTCTTAACATTTCCATTGTTGAAGCGTTAATCCTGTCTCTCTCCCTCGTGGGGGAGAGAATTTCGAAAAATTCCTACTTAGTATGTGTGCTCGTGACGTACCCTAACTGTATACCAAATTTTAACTTTCAAGTAATAACCTTTTGGGCTCTGCGCTTATTATTATTATTATCAACCCGTCTCGATTATATATATAGATTAGTTAAAACTGACGTTCGAACCCACGACGGATCTTGCTTTATATACCCCCACCAATACGAAAAAGGCTTCGAATGGACCACATTGGTAGTTCCACTAATACGAAAAAGGCTTCGAATGGTCCACAATGTTTCAAAACATTCCACATCATTCGAGAATATTCAGGAATATTTCACAATGGTCTGGGATGTTCCCGAGCGTTCCAGAACATCCTGGAACGTTCTGGAATGCTCTCGAATGTTCTACAAATTTCTAGAGGGCGAAACTTTTAGCCTGTATATCTTTAACAGCACGCCCTTCAAGTAAAAACGGGAACATTCTTCATCGATGTGAGATAGAGGGCTATCACACCATATAACTCCCTTGATCGTACCGGGACTCGTTTTTCAGTTTTAGCAGCACGCAAATTGTACACTTACCATTATAATATATATGTTATGGACAAAGTGATTAATCGGGCATTATTCATAGTGACCGGGCATTATGAAAAATGGCCAAATAGGGCGGGCAGTGTGATAAATATTGATTAATTTATCAAATTGACCGGTCATTATGAATACTGCTATCACCTAGTCGGGCAAAGTGATAATAATAAGTTGAGGAGTGATCATCTGACATACGCTAGCCAATCGGCACGCTGAGTTGCGTGTGCGTATCGTACAGCGTTTAGTACAGAATTTTAAACTTGATTAAAAAAACTCCACTTATTTCATTTATAAATATTTATTTTTTGTAAATTATATCAAAGTACTATTAACTATATTAATTAAACTAATATTAACGAAAAGTATTATTAACAATTTTTGGTATAAATTATATAAAAAATTAAATGCTTTTTAGTTTATTTATTTGAGCAATTAACATTTTCATGACATTTGGAATTACATAATTTTTTTTTCTTTGGTAGCATTTGCATCTATTAGATTTTCAACCAATTTTTCAGCAGCATTAACTATAGTTGTGGCCATCAGGAATTGATGACATTCTTGCACATTCTCTAAGCGAAATTTCTGCACCCGGTACATCTCCAACAGAAATAAAGTTTTCTTTACAAACAGTAAATTGGTTTCTGGAATATAATAGATTTAATATGCCATGTTTGGTACCCAGTTTGTAAAGGTTTAACCTCAACAACGACACCTAAAATATTTTTTCCATCACTGCGGGCTCGATCTTCATCAGGTACACGGATCCTTACTGTATCACCAACAATAGCTGCTGTGTATTTGGAATTTGATGTATTAATCATTTTTTCTGCTTGCTTTTTAAGATTAAACTAAGCCCTTGTTTTAGACACACTTCTTATTTTTCCTTCTTTTTTTGGATCAATTGTTTAGACTGTTCTTCTTCATTCACCAATTCTGTAATGCTAATAACATCCTGGTTTAGATTTTTTTCACGTGAAGACGATGTAGATCTTTGAACTTCATCAGTTATATTGCTATGTAAGGGTGGCATTATCAGATAATATTTCATAATGTTTTCTTGGACGGTACCCAGACTTTCAGAGTTTGAGCAACTTTGACTTACTTCGTTGATAGTTTTAAAATGTCTCTGTAGATTCTCTTCCGTATTAACGTTGAACAACGATTCGTTGGGTATGAAATTCTTTAGTCCAACTTTTAACTTTGCTCCAAACATGGCCTCATAGGGGCTGCAGTTTATACCAGTATGATGCGCTCGATTTTTAATCAGTAGTACAAAACGTAATCCTTCCGACCATTTGTTAGTATTGTTAATCTCCAACCAAGAACTAAGCATATTTTCTACGTCTTGATTACATCTTTCTACTGAATCCTGACTTTGTGAGTGCCTTGGTTTTCCATGCACTATTTTTAACTCGGGCCGCATATTACCCATTTGTTTGATAATATTATTGGCTAATTCTCTGCCATTATCGCTTTGTAAAATACTTGGTGCACCGAAAATTGTAAAAATATCTAAAAGAACATATGCTACTTCTTCAGCCGCCATTTTGGTTTTTAACTTGTTTAATCGGTTGTTGAAGCGATTATTCATAACACTTAATGATTCCTCCATGATCGTTACTTTTTTCAAAGAAGAAAGATTAACTACTGGTTACATAAATTTAAAATTCGGTACTATATGCAATACGCGTAAGCAAGTAAGATGTAAGTAATGATTGGCTAACATATGTCGGATGATCACTCCTCAACATATTATTATCACTTTGCCCGACTAGGCGGTAGCAGTATTCATAATGACCGGTCAATTTGATAAATTATTGAAATTTATTACAATGCCCGATTTTGTTGGTCATTATTCATAATGCCCGGGCATTATTCATAATGCCCGTATTAATCACTTTGTCCATAACATATATACTGATGATGATGATTAGCTTTTATAAATTTACTTGGATTCATTTTAGAATAGAGATAAATTACTGTATTGATTTTATTTTAAATTATTCACAATGTGTAAGGTGTAAAAATTAATACATTAATATCTTTTCTAGATCAAATTTATTGCTCTGTGCACTTTACGAAGATATTTACTTTACGGGTTAGTATTTTTCTGAAATTAAATAAAAATATAAAAATTAATGCTTTTTTCTATTATTACACTGTTTTTCGTACTTACGAAAATATAGTTTTGTTTGTTCTCTTTTAATCGTAACATCTCCTGGTTAAGTTCCTCTTCACACGTAAATTTTAAATTTTCATTTAATTTGTGTGCTTCTTCTTTTATTTCTCGGGCTGTTGTTACTTATGAATCATAAATTATTAAAATATTACCAACGTATCGTATCTTGCATAACAGTAAATAACTGTAAAATGTAATATTGCGACCGTATTCGTACAAACACGCTAAAAGAAACTCGTATAATACGGTAAAACGTCATCGCCGACTCGTGTCGCGACAGGATTGGTCGAATCTAGACCAATAGCGGATATTGCACAAAATGTTGAGTTTAAACGAGCAGCAGACCTACTAAAAACCATTTATTATTTAACGATAATAAAAATTATATTTATATTAATGATGTCTCCAAAGTTCAGCAAATTTTTCGCAGAAAAGTAACTTATCAGGAAACACGCGCCCGCAGTTCGATGCGCCGCTCCATGACGAAACCAAGCTTGACCGATATCGTCCTCGAACGGTGCACACTCGTTAAGTAATCCTACAATTTTTTGTTTATAGCGTAGTTTATACGGATTATTTCCAAAAAATTATACGTGTTTTCGAAATTTTGAGTCAGATTAGACTAGGATCGATTAATTTTTTGGAAGAAAACCTTTCAAACAACCGTAGTCCGTAAACTGCATACGTGCCGGGCTGTGATTGGCTAATGTATTTAAGGAATCGTAAAACATGAATTTCATAAAAAGCGGAACGTATCTACCGTGTTATAGAGGCTCGACTGTATTTAAAAACATTGAATGAAGACACGAATAAAAAATAACTCATTAACCTCAATATGAGTGAGAGTTAGCAATAATTCTTGGTCTAGAGCAAGAATAACTAAAAATCGAAAACATCTTACAATTGTTCTTTGTAATTTGTTGAATTTTTCACAGTTTTGATGAGCGAAAACGTTTCGAGGTAAGTTCATTTTCGAGGTTGTTTCACTACAATTTTAAGGTTACAATATTTTAGTAAAATTGGAGTTGTGATACGGTAATACAATAAAACGTCATCGTGATCACTTTATGCACATTTATTAATAAAATAGACGTGAAAAACAGCATCAAATTCTCCTATAGCGTAGAGAATTAGGCTTTGTAACAGTATACTTGGTGTACTTGACACAATTTCTTATCTTTGAACTATTAAAAAAAACAAACGTAGAACAACACAGTTATGTTTCAGTAAACACTCTCATCGACATTAAGGAATATTGTAAGTATAAATTTTAAAATATTCAAAAATTACAACTGTTTATACTTTTAAATTGTAAATATATAAGACCGACATAATTCTGTTTTTCACTTCTGTGAAATGTTTTTAAATTTACGTAAAATTTAATGAAGTAAAATGGATTTTGTTTTCTTGGCACGAAGTGAACGAGTTGAAATTTGTTTTTAAAACGTATACACTTAAAAATAACTGTTGCGAGTTATTTTTGTACGCTTTGCAGTAAGTTTGCTGTTGGTTTGCTGTTTGCTGTTGGTTTGCTTTTTAAAGTTTGCTGTTGGTTTTCTCCAGACGTTTGAAATTTACACAAAAAATGCATAAAATATTACGTCATATTATCAAATTTATTGTAGAAAAATACCTATAGACTATACGTCTTTACAGTACTACGTATTTACTTAGAATGTAGTTTTAAAATTTATAAAATAAATATACCATAGTCATTTATTTTCATGTTTTGTTTCCTTCCTCCCTTTGGACAATAACAGGGCCTTTTTCTTGTCTATTTTGGATTTGATTCGGTCTCTATACTTCGAGATTCGGTCTCTATACTTTTTCTAGGAGAGCGCAACTTTTGGCGGAACTAGGTGATCGCGTAATCACCCTTTCCTCGTCAAGATTCCCGACTACAGTTAATCAATTTTAGATACGCGGATTAACACGCGTTATGCTTCGTAGAGAGAATAGGTTTGATTCAGACACTTGAGGCATTACTTTAACAATAATAAAACCAAATTTAATAAGACAAAAGAATAAAACTATACACAATGGAATAATTAATCTAAACGTTTCGAGAGAGAGAGCACACACTTTTCTACTATAATCATACTACCTCTAGATTATTTCCCTATTTCTTCACCTTTAATTTCTTTATAGTTCAATTTATTCAGTTCTTATACTTCAGTTCGTGGGGAGGTCTTGAGTGGCACATCACAAAAGTTTTTCCTATCTTACTAACTTGAACTCGTTATTATTAAAATCTGCGGGATACGACTATGGGCGTAGGCCTTCGGGAGATGGTATGGAATACATCTTCCTTCTTTCGGATTTCGTGGCGGACTCCTTGAATCGTGCAAAATCATTTCTATTTCTCACGATTGTTCTCCAATAAGCCTTTTGATTCTCTCACGTGAACAGAGGATAAGGGAATGTATCGAGAGGTTAACAATTCCCAGGGTGCTGACATTTGTAGTAGATAAGGGTAAAACAAAAGGATGTTACAACTTCCGTTGCAGGAAGTGACTTTTTATCAGTTTTTCAGCGTTAGAAAAACCTAATTTCTCACCAAAATTAAAAAATATTTTTTCCCTAAAATTTTAACTTTATAATTAAATTATAACTTAGTCACAGGGGCAATTCAGATCTCATAATTCTATGGTCTTAACTATTGGGTAATATAATTATTAATTTTAGTTTCTGAAGTGTTACTTTGAAAACCGTTATGTTTGTCACCTGCTTTGTACCTTAATTAACACAATAATGTAAAAAACAAATGAGATCATTTGATAAGAAGATAACAAAAGTGAAGATAAATTTATCGCTATTATAAATTGTTTACAGCAGACATTAAATGAAAGGGAAACTTTAATGACTGTTACAGAAATTTCTCTTCTTCATTTTCTACGTAAATTGTTTATTAACGTTATTCATTTTCCTATAGAAATTTATATTAAAAAATTATTTATAAGTCATTTTTAGCGTTATAATAATAATAATAATTAATCATTTAATTCTTAATTTCAGGCAGTCAAATTTTAAATTTCAGAAGGAATGTCGTTTATCGGAAACCGTAAGTCTTTTGCTTTAATTTTATATTCTCATTTCTATAAAGTATCAGAGATCACCAAAATTTCAAGCGTATTATTTATAATATAAATTTTGCTAGACTTTCATTGGAATAGCCGGATAGTCGAGAAGGTAAATCCTACCATTCTGGAGGGTTCTATTTCGTCAATTAAGAATCTGAGCAAATTTCACAAGTGGTTTCTCTGTATGTATGCCTAAAGAGTGACATGTATAGACCTCCACTCAGCCGGTGCAGGATTTATAGGGGTATGCTCAGGGATAGCTGCACTTGAAAAGATTTCATTCTTTAGTTTAATTACGATATTCGGCTAAACTCTGTTATGGGTATGACCATAGTTATAGTGGTGTTAGAAATAAGACTTTTTCCAAAGGTATCTACCGGGTTACACAAAGGATACCTGTACAACAATTACGCAGTTTTGCTAACATCTGGAACTTAACTCTATGTTCTACATTAGTCTATTGTTTCGTATAGCACGAATTCGCATAACACGGCCCTTTTTCGGAAGACATCTACCGGGTTACACAGAAGATACCTGTACAACAATTACGTAATTTAAATAAGTTATACTAAAAATTACTTTTATTATTTGTTAGAAATTATAATCGAAACCGTTAAATCATCAAATTATTATCAGTATTTATTGCTGATAAGATAATTTCTGTAATTTAGTTTCTGTTTTGGTTTTGTTAGATGAAAATTGATAATAACATAATACAGCGAGAAACAAACAATCGAACGAAAACTAAATTTCGTAATTTAAATTTAAAGTATATGCTCTTCTCGATTTTAGTATCGACTTGCCCCTGTGCATCATACGTTACCTTCCAACAGTAGAGTCATGCCGGATATTTATCTAACTCCGGTCTGGAGAAAGCATTTGAACTCAAAAAACGTGACAACGGAACTTTATATTTAATTCATCAGGGCCTCCAACCCGTCCGATTTTTAAATCTAGTTTCGAATTTCATCTCTATCTCCACTCTCGAGATGAAGGAAAGACATACAAACGGATAATAGAATTATAGATTTACAATGAGGTCCGCAACCCAACAAATCCCACCATTGGCCATAAAGTTCCGTTCCCTGAACACTGATTACGAGAGGTCGTTTTAAAGATAACTGGTCTGTATTTAGGCGCTACAGACGTAGGGAAAACCCAAAAAAACTCTACGTGACCAGCCCGGCATTCGCCATGACGGGCTGGTCACGTAGAGTTTTTTGGGTTTTCCCTACGTCTGTAGCGCCTAAATACAGACCAATTATCTTTAAAACGACCTCTCGGAAGACATTGTCTCTAGGCAGATCTCCCAAGTGTTGCGTTGCCGTAACTTAACTAAACAAACAAACAAGTATCCCAACAATACCTATTAACGATAAGTGTTATACTTAATTAGTTTACGTGTCCACCAGTGGCTTACTGAATGAAACTAATAAACACATTGATAAGGTGAGAATTCCCGACTCCTTTAACGGTTTCATCCACTTTTCACACGTTGTCCAGTTTTTCAATGGATAATAGTCATGTTAAATCAATAATAATATAAATTAATATTAATTAATAACAATTAATATTAAAAATCTACAAGTATCTCTGTTTAATCTGCCGATATAACTAACGACATAATCCTAATTTTATTATTTATATTTTAAAGCTATTAACAATAACATTTGTGTGGATAATGGAAATACTCAAAAGGTAATCATTTGATTGGTAATAAGATAGGAGTTATAACATAAAATTTATTGTATTAAACTATTGTTAATTTTTTTAGATATTTTGCGATCCTGTTCACGGACAAATCAGTTTCAATGCTTTATGTCTGAAAATCATAGACACACCAGAATTTCAAAGACTTCGCTTCATCAAGCAGTTGGGATTTCTCTACACTGTTTATCCAGGAGCTAACAATAATCGCTTCGAACACTCTTTAGGGTATGAACATTTTAATATTCGAGAAACCACAGAAAACAGAAAATATTGGTGCCCATTGGTGGGCCGGCATTATTTTGTATCCTAATTATTTATGTGTAATTCTAGAGTTGCTTATTTGTCGAAGAAATTTCTTCTGGAATTAAGAAACAACCAACCGGAATTAAATATAACGGACCAAGAAATAAATTGCGTACAGATTGCTGGACTTTGCCACGATCTCGGTCACGGTCCATTTTCTCATTCGTGGGAAAGATTTATGAGGAAGTGCAGAAAAAAACGTAAAGACGAAAGCAAACCGTGGAATGTAAGTTAACACGTTAAATATCAAGCAATTTCTAAGTGAATTGTGAATTTATATCCATTTTAATCGCAGCACGAAGAAGTATCCATTAAAATATTTGATTATCTTGTACGAAAATATAAATTGGAAGAGGAATTTCAAAGATATAATATAGACAAAACGAAAATCAATTTCATCAGAGATCTTATGAAAGGAAAACCTGTAAGCGAATTTATTTTCTATTGCATCTGATTTTGTAAAATATACCCTATTTACATAATTAATATTTTATTTACAGACCTGCGATGAGCGGACATTTCTCTTTCAAGTAAGAATCTGTTTGTTTCTTTATATATTAATTATTGACTTTAATGAATACAGTATACCTTTCGAATAGCAGACACCGTCTAAAACCGAGAATATTATCTACTATTTAGTGGTAAACATAATACATGTCCTATTTATAGTGTTTTCAGGTTGTAAAAATGCCTGTTAAGTAAAGATGTCCGCTATTCGGGACTGTTTGTTAATGGATCGTTCACTGTAAATGTAGTTTATGGTATAATATATTTAATGGCTTCTAACATTTCATAAATTATTTATGATGATATTTTGTGTTAATAAGATATAATCCATCGCGGTATCAAATTAGCAAAGTTATTTTGTTCTACTAATGATATTTATTGTACAACAGACAGAAATAGTATTATTTCGAATGACTTAAACATTAATAATTTACATATATATAATTTATAGATCGTGAATAACGAAGAATCGGGATTAGACGTCGATAAATGGGATTATTATCTCCGCGACTGCCTGTATCTCGGAATCAAATGCGGATTCGAATACAAACGCCTCATGCAATTTGCAAGAGTAAATGATGTCGATGGTAAAAAGGTTATATGTTTCCGTGACAAAGTAAGAAATTTATTATTTAATTAATGTTTTAAAAAGTAAAGAAAATTACTGGTTGGGTGAAGGAATTCTGAGGCGTGTAAAGTCACTGAGGCCTGTAAAGTCTAGTGCCAGTAGTGAAAGATGAGAGGCAAAGACAGACACTGCCCAGGTAAAGATCCACGGGCAGTTGCAGCCTCTTAAACACAATCCACGGAGGATCGAAGTAACCTAAGTAAAAAGAGAAAAACGAATAAACGTGAATATTTATTTTTACTTTCACGGCTGCTATATATAACAGAGGGAAAGCATGGCAATCTATTGAAAAGTTTTCCTCCACCAAGATTTCTACTTTTTTGGACTCGGGAGACATTGAAACTTCAAGAAATACAAAAACATTCGGAGTTTTTGACTCTATGTATGGATGTTAGTGTGTGTTGGAGCACGATTTTGTTCACACTATTTGAAGTTTATTAAAAATAATAATAACTGTCGTGCTTTTTGTCGAAATTTTAAAGGCATATTTGTGTATAAAGGGGGTTGATGCTCTTAAATTTTCATGGTTAAAGATCGAGGGGATGGAGAGATAAAGGGCGTCGTATATCCTATCTTGAGTAGGCTTTTACTCGTTATTAGCATTTACATTTTGTTTTATATATATATATACATATATAAAATTCTACATCAAATGAGGTAGAAGCATCTTGCTTAAAAGAGAATCATCTTTTCTTCCTGCTCTTCCCTACAGATAATTATCTCATAACATTTTACTGATGGTAATTAGCTGCGTATAGAATTTGAGAAATTTATTTTGTGTATTTTAACATANCGGGTTTTCCCCTTGCTATGGATGTCTGCCTAGTTCAGTTCAGCCACATTTCGCTACAGTTCGCCTTTATTATCAGTTCGAAATGGGGTGGTTCCATAATACCCGCAGTGTTCCATAATACCACCTTCTCCTCTACTAAAAAGAATTGTTTTTGCTCTGGAGAAATGCTAAGTGAAAACATTGTATAATGAAAAACTAAATTCAAAAAAACACAGTTAATGATATCCACTTTACATACTTTAGTGATATACTAGACAAGGTAATAAGTGTTGAACTATAGGCGTTATGTTGATATTTGCGTATGCTTTTATAGGTAAAGCACGGCGCCAAGTATGAAGAAACGAATTTAAGTTATTTTGATGGTGGCGATCTTCATACAATCAGCGTAAAGTCGCCGAAGAGTTTAACAGGCAGCGTTAAGATTGTTGTGTATGATTTAAGGTTTGGATGTAAACTGTTAATTTTCTACGACATCGTATTGACTGCGAGTACACAACATCAAAATAACTTGAGTTCGACTCTCCTTACTCAGCACAATTATTTCCTTGTAAAAGAATGAAGATAGATGGATATAATTCCCGTTGATCTAGACTTACAGGGTACTCCCGTTTAGTATTATAATTTCTCTGAACTTTTTCGCTTACTAAGTATTAATATCTTTATTCAACGCTGTCTAGAAAGATTTTTCACTCAAATGCAACCAAATCTGGCACGATGACATTTCAAGACCTTTCCAAAAATAATAATAAAATTAATAGCAAAATTTTCCACTATTCCATTTATGATGCTGTAAGCAACAAGCTTTATTTCTACAAGACATTCACATGACACGGAAATTTTAACGATGAAGAAAACACTTTTCAATGCGGTTTTTATTCTTTTGGTGCAAGATTTGAAGGCAATTAATATCAACTGTAATTGATTTTCTTTAATATTTCTAACCCGCAGAGTTATGCAGTCTTTCAAGACTGCTAAATTTGTAATGTGTTCTCGACAAAATACACTTTATAAAACTTTATGACTCAAATACCCAATAGTGCCATAGTGGTGAATTTCTGTACTAATTTGCACTTTAGGTAAATGTCTAATGCGTGTCCTGAAATGTCACCAACCAATTTTGATTATATTTCGACTACTAAGTTGTTCTTTAAACATCATTAAATACAGGTACAGTATTTCAATTACAATATCGTTGTACGATGCATTCCTGGAATTCCCAACGTTTTCTGTTTTACCAATATTAAAAGTTTAAATAATGAAAAATTTTGACAATAATTATGTATTAAACATTATTTTCTGTGTTATTAGATAATTTCGATTGATTGGGGCAAGGGTGAAGATAATCCAGTTAGTCGTGTCTACTTCTTTTCTAAATATAACATGGATGCTACTTGGAAAGAAGAGCANCTCTGACTACTTTGTCCCCATCTCCAGATAAAGATTTTTTTTTTTTTTCCATAATAACTAGTGTTTTCTTCTGGGATAATATGCAAAGGGTGCACGATAAATTATGTATTAAACATTATTTTCTGTGTTATTAGATAATTTCGATTGATTGGGGCAAGGGTGAAGATAATCCAGTTAGTCGTGTCTACTTCTTTTCTAAATATAACATGGATGCTACTTGGAAAGAAGAGCAGAGTAATTGGATGATGCCGAAAACATTCAGAGATGTAAAACTTAGTGTTTTATGTAAACGCCACGACGATACGACATTCGAAAAATTACGAATTTGTTGCGAAAAATACGATGCAATTCGCACTTAATGGCATCTTTAAACCTGCACACGAATTTGTGACAGTTATAAAATTAATATTCCCGTAAGTTAATATATTCTAAATTAAATTATAATTCTATTATATTGTAGGATACTTATAAATTTTCAGTGAAGCGAATGAGTTAACTTGTATACGTGCTATTTACAGTTGAACCTTCTGTGAGATAATTCAATGTAAAAGTCCTTGTATTAAAATTCTGTAAATCTGTACTGAAGACTAAAATAAATATTCGTAAATAATTAATCATCATGCTTAGTAATTTCATTTCATTCCAGACCATGCCACTTACAATGTGTTATAATACTTTCATTCGCCCATCAGTGGCCGAGTGTATAAAACCACTGAACACTGGTGGTGAGTTCGCGCCTCGGCAACGGGCTGCATACATGGAGTTTACCGGGTTTTCTTCTCGTTAGTAACACCTAAATAGAGTCCAGTTTCCCCATCAAACCAAATAGTTTCATTCATGTACAATGCAATAAAATTGCGCAGGTTTGAAGACAGATATACAATAACAAATTCGTTTTACTCCCGTAATCAATAATCTCAAATGGTTTTGGTTACCACTGGACAAGTGGTAACCAAATTGTTTTAACCTTTACTATTAAACAACAGTTATCGAAGACAATGAAGATGGATCAAGAATTATCATATTTCCATTTTAGGATTATTTTGATAAAGTGTGAGAAGATATTCGGTGTTTTGTCATTTATGACGTCACAGCTTTGTGTTCCCTTAGATGTCATTTTTTAATAATTTTTCTTTACTTTATATATATTATTATTATTAACTTAATAAATATATTGTTCTAACCGCTATGCATTTATCATACGAAAATTATCACGCCGATGACGTCATAAACCATGTTAGGTTCGTTATTTTCGAAACCGTCTGCTAGAATTTTAAACGCTAGAGGGCGACCGGAAAATGATCACATGGGTTTGGTTTTGGTTTTGTTTATGGATGTGGTTTAGTCGCACGAGATGAAGTTCACCAAGATTCTCTATCACTTGGGTTTTGGAAAATTTCAGGTTTATATATGCCTTCTGGTAGGGGTTTTGCAGATATTCGGAGGTTTGCAGTTAAATTCTAATCTGTTCTACATGCATAGCTTCGTTCCTAAAAGCAATCTACAAAGCAGCAGGTAAGAATTGCAAAGCACGTGTCTGTTTGTAATTGATTAATTTGTAAATTAATCTTAAATTAGAATTATAACTTAGCGATATCAGATTATACACACGTTTAGACGATAAAACTTTATTAACGAATGGGAATTGGGCAAACAATTCGTATTCAGATAATGAATTGCATATTGATCTGTTAAAGCTGTCTGTTTGTCTGTTCGTTTCTGATCATTTTTACAAAGTTAAACCGTTCTTAAAATACGGCGTAATCTAATCATTTGTTTTGCGTAGCTTACTCTGTCTAAAATCGATAATCGAGTCAAACCTTAAATTGATTTTAATGCTGCATGAAATATTATATACTACACATAATACAGTTAATGTAAATATAGTCATTAGATAAGAAAGGAGAACATTATTTCCTTTCACAATATGTTTTAGTTAATGAAGAAATTTTGAATTGATTTCTGAAGGTCGTAGGTCGCCGATAGGTGGGCCGTACCATTTACACTCCGACGGAGGATACATTTCGGAATTGGTGAAAATGAGTTCCGGAACCGTTACGTTTATTGATTTGTAAAGGTTGCTGTGTCGGAAGATTGATTCTACGGTTAAATATTAAAGGCGGGCAAAACAGGACTGTCCGTTGGCCCTATTGAGAAATTCTCGTTAAGTTCTGCTTTCGTTTATGTGATTCCCAAAAGCAGATTACGGTAACCGGTTAAAAGATAACTGATAGTTTCTTATGTAAAGTGTGTGTTGTGATAAAGGCACGACGATATGTTTCCTTTAGAGTGAAGGTCGCGATGATTGTAAGATTACGTAACGCCAAAAATTATATTATTTCTCTTTGCCGTCGTTATGGCCAATTGGATGTTAAGGTTTAGTCGCGTGCATTAAATAAGGGATTCGGTTCCGGTACCAATCGAAGGTAAAGATGGTATGCATCTGCCACACTTAAATTGTTAACTTTTGTTTTATAATTTGTTCCAAATAGAAGACAGTATAGCAATAAGATATTGTTTTATTGGAGCAACAAGTTATGTAACTTCAGACTTAACAGAAAAAAATTTGACAGTTTTAAAAACCTTTTTGTAATGTATATTTTACGACAATGTGATCGGTTTGAATCAGAAAATTAAAATAAGCATATTTGAAAATGGCTGAACAAACCGTATTCTTATCTTTTCTCGTGTCACTCTGACTACTTTGTCCCCATCTCCAGATAAAGATTTTTTTTTTTTTTTTCATAATAACTAGTGTTTTCTTCTGGGATAATATGCAAAGGATGCACGATAGATAAGGTCCTTATACACCGATAGTGTGAGTGATGCGCAGTACACGAACACATAGTGATGAAGGCGGCACGAAGACCAAGGAAAATGAGAACTGCAAGCAATAAATAAACACGTGAGAAATTAATGAGAAATGCACATTTTACCATCTATGCTTGATGTGTATGTTAGCATGTGTGTTTTCTATTCACACTATTCGTGTACAAGTGTCCTTTTGTACTAAATTGGTCATGCTCTACAACATTTCTCCATATTGTGCATTGTTCTTGAGATAGGAGTGCTAACTTCTGAATTTTACCACTAAGGGCACTGCAAGTGGTCTCGTCTTGTAACGTACTGTAGTTACTTTACTATAACTACAAAACATGGGTGTTTTCATTCGTCAGTTATGTGTATGATAAGGACTTTACCATATAAGCTGTGTTTTTGTAATTTTAGCATATTGGGGATATCTTAAACAATACTTTCTTAATATATCTTAACAATCGTTCTCAAATTACATAAAAGTTAATGTGTGGAAGAAGACCTGGGATGCATATACAGTAAAATCTGTGTAAACCAGAATGGTACAGTACCGAATATTTTTTCTGTTTTGGCAGATTTTCATTTTGAACAGGATTTTTTAAACTTGTTCCACTTCAAAAAACTTTTTTTAGTTGGGCAGTTTCCACTTTGGACAAGTTTTACCGTTAAACATGTCATCATCATTATAAACAGGGTTATGGGAGCTTCACATTCTGGTATTGGAATACGAGGAAGTTGGCTATAGTAGTAGTTAAATTCATAGTGCTTTACGAATTCATATAGTAGTTTCAGTTAATGCATGCTACAAAAAATTAACACAATTAATGGAAAAGTTGTTCTGTTATCTAGTGAGAGAAAATAAAATAAAATTCACATATCACCTGACATATTAAGCAAAACAAGCCAATTGGTATAACCGGAGTGACATCCTGCATGACATCACTCTCAAGTCGATTCATTCCATAGATGGACTGTAGACAATTTGTTTATGGCTAATAAGAATGCATGGTGTAACTGAACACTTTGTCAGATTAAACAAAATACCTTACACCACAGTATATATATATATAAAAATATGAAGTTTTAAATTAATTACAAGGGTGATTCAAAAAGTAAGGTAACAAGATCTCTCATAGGTGTCATATTCCTCCTCTTGTTTAAATTTCTCATTAAGACAGCAGCAGAAGACCACAACTTTGTCACACAGGCGTTAGATGGTGCAAATTTTGCGTCAGACTTTTGTAATATCATTTTGAAAATGGCTGCGCTTACAGAAACATGATCAAACATGGAAGTGCATAGTGTGATGTAAAGACTTTCTCTATAAATCAATGATGAGAAGTTTTTTATTTGTTTATGGCAATGCAACCTGGGCAATCTGCCAAGGGATTGACAATTGGGAGAACAGGTAATTGGCCCTATTTAGGTATTAGACATGTGAAGGAAACCTGGAAAACTTAAAGTGACCAGCCTGTTGGCTTGGCAGAAATCACAACCAACTAACAGCGTGCGGTGGTTTTATCCATGCAGCCACTAGTGGGCTCAATGATAAGTAAATTAAACATACAGAAATTAATTTTTAATTAACTCGATTAGACAAGAAAATCAGCACAAGAAATTCACAATCATTTGTATTGTAATATTACAAATGCAAAGGTCCATCATTAAAAATACAGAAACAATTATTATAATTAATTATCTTAGAAATTACTGCTGTCGTTCCAAATCTCAACAGACTTATCAAATTTGTATGTGATAAATGTCAAAAATTGTGTTGCAAAATGACTTACAGATCTCCTCTACAATTACATTAAAATGTGGTTTTTACAGTTTAAAATTTAATTATGTATATCATATTTAATTTTTAATAAAAATGTAAAGTCTTAAACCCCAATTTATTGAAAAATAGATTCTTATTAGCGAGGTTGAGCCGAAGTTTTAAACGCGAAAACGTGTACGTCGGACGTTCAGCGTCGCTTTCTGTAAGCCTAGAAGTTTGACGATGGTGTTTGGATAGTCAGTGGAATCATGCTCGACATTCCAAACACCATTGTCAAACTTCTAGGTTTACAGGAAAGCGGTGCTGAACGTCCAACGTACACGTTTTTGCGTTTAAAACTTCAGCCTCAATTTCGCTATTGATGTGAATTTCTAAACTTCTAGTACTTTAGGGTTTTTTTTTT